TCTGTTCCAGCTTTCAAAAGTTGGTCTAATTCATAATGTAACTTAGAGTAATATAAATAATGTCATAGAGTGAAACAACCATCTGTAGCAGTGGTTTGATGGGAAAATACAGTCATAGGTACAATTTGAAAAGCCAGAAAGTTTATTTTTCCCTCCTGAAGTTATAAAAATAGAAATAGTAATCTTCTCTCCAAGCATCCTTTTATCTTTTGAAGTGTAGAAGTAAATATATCTATATATCCAAGCCAGTAGTGGTCCTTCCAGTTGCCTGAGGATTGGGGCTTTTTCAGAGCAGCCCTGCCAGGGGAATCAGAAATGAGGTTCCAGTGACAAGGTACTCCAACCTGGGAGACATACACACAACTGAAGTGCCGTGTGTGTATGCGCGCGTGCATGCATTCAGAATGTGAGGGGGTTGGATAGAGAGGTTCATGTGCCTTAAAGTGAAGAGATAGGCCAGGACGATAAATGTATAGAACTTCTGATTTTAAAATAAGCATGTAAACTGTACACTATTTTATGAAATTACTCTTGAAATTTTATTCAAATTAAATAATGAATTCATCAATTTTATGAGACCAACTTTAAGAGAACTAGCTGGATTTTTAATGGTTAGCTTCAATATAATAGTGGTGTATAATTTAGTACAAACATTGAAGGCTATCAGAAAATCTGTGTTAGAATTTTAATGATTATAGCCTGTGGAATATTCTATATGTATCTGACACTTAGAATTACTTGTTCTGCGATATCCATAATAAAATTTATATGATGCAGTTTTTTGGGTCTGTATTTTCAGGTATAATCCTGGTGTATAAAAGTGAATGCTCTTAGAAGATTGGGTCTTTATCTTTTGTCTCTGTAAATTCCACAATGATAGGAAGCTAATATGTTAGGGATTTAATAAATATGTTAATGACCATCTATAAAGATAATATGCTTTATTGTTTTGTCATATTTTATAGGCCTGCTTTCTGCTAAAGTAGCATTATGATATAACTTGCCAAAGAGCCCTAGCATATGAAAAAACAGTCTACCCTTTTTTATTATGAGAAGTTCAGAGACCTTCTGAATATATTAGTGATTACCATTAAAGCACTAATTAATAATTTTTCCACTAATATGAGTTGTACAGATGCCAGATTTAAACAGGTGTGAATACTAGGCTCCTTGACTAGTTGAGTTATTGTTACTTCATATCAGTCTTATAGCTTTCTGTTGGTGTGATTCAAATGTGGGTCTTGACAGATTAGCATAAACCCTGGGACCCCTGGGTCATGGTGAAAATAATCACTGTATATTAAGGATCTGTGTGAAGATTCTTAACCTGTATAGGATTTGTGTTCAGAAGATCTATGAAGCTTCTGAAGTTGTCTGCCACATTTTGTGTATATATGCATACACATTTTTTCTGTGACCCATATATGAGTACTTTCAAAGTCTGTAACCCATGAAAGGTTAAGGACCAATGGATTTGTAACCTCTTCAGAAGTCTTTTACATTGAGTAACCATTTGCCATCTCATTTCCTTGCTATATTGTATATACTTCTGGAAAAACATAGATACCATGTATTTTTTTATCAGTCTGATTTTAATTTTCCAGAAAATTTGTGGTCTTTTCATAATACAGTGTTATTTCTTTTTTACGTGATTCATATTTTAGTACTAATGCCAGGTTAATGTGATTGATAAAATGTGAATGATTTATGAAATTTTATTTATATACCTGAATTTGTTATTAAAAGGGACAAAAAGGAATTTTTTTGTATTTTACATTCAGTCCTTTTCATGGAAGAGAATATTTTAAAACAACTTTGGCTTGAATTTTTAATTTTCATAATTAGTAAAACCTGCTTTTATGAAAATACAGAACCCTCATTCACTCTGTAACTCAGACAATAGTAGTACATTATATAGGGTAGCCTAAACAAAGGTTGATTATTGTGTTTGTGAATATTTCATTCTCTTTGAATTGGACTTGAGAGTAAACTTTGTCTTTAAGCCTTTATTGCTTTCTGGACCTTTATGTTGCCTAAGGGAAGCAAACTTCTTAGAAAGTAGAACCATAGAGTTGTAAATGAGCAAGGGAAGAAATAGTAAATAATAATTATAATCTCATCTTCATTAATGTTTTTAAACTAGGCAATGAGTAATTTTACAATTACAGTATCCACTCTCATGGAATTTACCAACTAGATTAATGAGCAAATGTGGAGCTGTTTTGCTAATGTGGGAATTAAATTTTTGAAAACAAAATTTTTTTATTCTGTCACTTAAAGAACCACATTGATTATGGTAATAAATAAAAATAATAGAATAAACAGTCATTCATTGGATGTTTAATTGTTACAGGCACTTTTACATATTACCTTATTTGATCTTAACTAGTGGAAGAATTAAGAAATAATATTGTCATTTTGATGAGAAAACTAAAAAATGTAGAAGTTTCTTCAAGGTGTTCTGTGTGACCTTCAAAACCAGGCAATAAATGGCTGTTACTAGTCACGAATTATAGGGCTGGAGATTGGTTGAGATATTGGAGGTCTTTGAGTCACAGCCTTCTATGCAAATAGAGAAGGATTTTCATTTTTTCATAATAGTTTGTGTTTTTTTCCCTAAAAAGTAATCATTAATATGGTTTTTTACCCACACTTGTTTAGTTTCTTTTGAGAGAAAATATATTTTACAGATATATGATAATTATACTTTTTCTATCTCTCATATTAAGATATCAGCCTCATTTTTAAATAGCGTTTGAATCTGCAAATAGACATCAGATTTGGGTGTCATGGAATATAAAAAAATGAAATTAAAAGTATAGTCAACATTTTATACAGATATTAAGTTTATAAAGTTTATATTAAAGAAAATGCTTCAAAATATTTTAAGTATTACAGCTAGTATTGATGCAGTATGGAAAAATTCATTTAGTGAGGGAGTCATTACTGCTACATCTAGCTTTTCTAACATTTGAAAAATTTATGAAGATCATCAGATGGATCACGAGATCAGGAGATCGAGACCATACTGGCCAAGATGGTGAAACCCCGTCTCTACTAAAAATGCAAAAATTAGCTGAGCGTGGTGGCATGCACCTGTAGTCCCAGCTACTCAGGAGGCTGAGGCAGGAGAATTTCTTGAACCCGGGAAGCAGAGGTTGCAGTGAGCCAAGATTGTGCCTTAGCACTCCAGCCTGGGCAACAGACCAAGACTCCCATCTCAAAAAAAAAAAATTATTTGTATAACTATAGTACTTAATTTAAAATTAAGTAGCATTATCTCTTTTCATTTGATTGTCATTATTCTTTTAATATTTCCTATTTATTTAGAATCAATGTGGAGTCTTTTTAAAAAAATAACATTGCTTTTATGAAGAAAATTCGGAAATGAATATTGGAAAATGTACTGAATACCTGGAAGGAAAATAATTTTTTTGTCCTTTTTAATATAGAGGTCAAAATAGAAAAGCTATTTCTAAAGTTGCCATTCGTGGGAAATGAAAGGCCTTATCATTTATAGAATTTGATATCAAGGGAACAGTTGTTCTGAAGTAAAACAATCCAAACCATTACCACACTGATAATTTTCTTCAATTAGACAGGCTAGAGCTTTAATCCTAAAAGAACCCCAGTATCCAGTATCTTTGCCTACATTTTTAACATTAAGGAAATCCTTTTTTCTTTTATTTATATTTTTAAATATTACATATTTTAATTACTGGAAAAAGAACAGACAGCAAATTAATCAGGTTTCACATTGAGGAAGATTGAGTTGTATGTTAACAAAAGATAGGAAAAACTGATCAACATAGCACGTATATATACGTATATAATACTTAAATGGACTAGAAAGTTTGTTCTTGTGCTTTCAGTAGAAACATAAAACAAATCTGATGTTCTCATAGAAATAGTTCATAATAGTTTATGTTTTTGCATAAGACCCATATTTTCACCGAAAATACTACAAACATTACAGTCATCAGCAAATGTTACATATCTAGCATAGAAACTTCTAAAGTGGATGTAAATTAATCGTATCAATTCTAAATTACAATTTTGTTAACATTTTTAACCTGTTCTTTGGTTGTTACACTATATTTTTAGTTCAAAAAAGGATAGAATTTAGAAGGATATTTTGAGGGCACAGATTTTAAATAGGTCATTTTGAAGACACTTTTGAGTAGACATAGTTATTACATAGTCATTAGAAAACAGAACTTTACATATTTTTATAAAAGGATTTTTAACTTCTAAAAGTAATAAATAACCTTAGGGAAGATTTAGAAAATACAAACAGGAATAAAGAAGAAAAAAAAGTCCCCCTAGTTCCGCTGTCCAACTGCTCTTCCCCCTGCCCCAGCCAAACTGTATCCAGCTTTATTAAAGATTCTTTCCATAAACATGATATTTCAGGCAGGACATGGGCAGACAGTTGTTAACAGTATACAACAACTTTCAAACTCCCTTCTTCAATGGACTACCAAAAATCAGAAAGCCACTCTAAAACCCAGTGAAGTCCTCATCTCATGTTCGGACCGGGAAAGTTTAGAGTGAGGGTTGACGTTTCACATTTAGCATGTTGTTTAACAACTTTTCACAAGCCGACCCTGACATTCAGAAAGTGAAATGAAAATGGCAGAATTTATCTGAAGATCCACAATCTAGAAACAGAACCACTACTCTTTTGACAGGTGCCATCTCAGTGGCATCACTGGGAAGTCCAGATTGCCTGACACACTGGTAACCAATGACTGGGGGTCAGGTCCCAACAGATGTCTGGGCTTAAGGGACTTAAGTCTATGCTGAAAGACGGAAAGGGAGAAGAGGACATAAAAATGAATTTGTTTTTCCATACCACAAGGCTTTTTTGCCAAGGTGGCCATGTGTGTCAAAGTCAGGGAATCCCTCCTCCTGGGAGCCAAGAGGAAGTCTCTCAAAACTGGAAGGGAAAGGTGTTTTCCCCACATCAGTCCAGCTTCAGAGACATTGTATTGGTGACATTATGTTCCTTCTCGCAAAAAAAAAAAAACAATGATGTGTTCTGTGTGCTGACAACAAAGCCTTAAAAAAATTAAAACTGAATTCTGCATTTTTATAAAACTTGATAAAAATAGTATTTCAAACTGTACAGTCACCAGAAGTACACAGTTATCAAAAATGCACACACTTCACTTGGCATCTCCAGCACCTTCAGCTTTCTGTGCCTGGTCTGTTTTGGCATCTCCATTTTCTGCAGGGTTATTCCCTTCCTTGCCAGCATCAGCTTTTCCCTTTTCCCCTTTGGGTACCTTCTCTCCCTTCTTTGCAGGTGCCTTTTTAGTCTTGGGCTCTGGCTTTGGAGGAGCAGGTTTAGGAGACAGCCTCATGGATCTTCTCTGTGGTTCGTCCTTCACCTTGGCTTTATCTCCTTTAGCGTCCCCTTCAGCCCTTTTCTTGGGCATGGTGGTAGCAGTGACGCAACAGCAGCGAGACATAGGTGCTGGGCGTGGGATGGGGCGGCAAGTCAGCTTTGGTCAGTGCAGGGGTCATTCTCGCCTCTTCTTCTTCACACTGCTCCAAATCAACCACTCTGAATAGTAAACTCTTTATCAATACTATTTTGTACATTTGTTTGTTATTTTTCACAATTAAAAATAGTTTTTTTCTCACACAATTTCAAAGCATGCTCCCAATGACAGCAAAATGCAATTTTCTACAGAAATTTATCCAACTTGATAAAACCAAGAGTTATTTACTTAGGACAGGTATATGGGCTCTCTGTAAGAGCTTCCCTAATTCCTATTTCACACAAATTTTCTATTATTTCAGATTTTCAAATATACTTAATTACTTAATAAATCTCAATCATCCACTGAAAAATTATGTTTCTAAATTTGTGGCATCTTTAGTTAATGCTTACAAACAACAAATAATAACAGCTGATATCTATTGTCCTATGGGAGTCTGTAGAATGGGTCTTTAAAAAAATTCTTTTTAAAGGGTCAATCTTCTAAATGAAACCATCTCTGTAAACTTAGAAAATTAATGAGGGAAGAAGAAAGGGGGAGAAACAAAAACGAACCAAGCTTGCAGCACATTCAGCATTAATCACTAGGTCCGGTTTGCTCTCCAATCTGCTAGACCGTAGATTATAGTTATCCTTAACTGCTCCATTGGTAACAACTAGAACATTATGAAATACTAAGTTTTCCTTTGAGATTTTTTTTTAACTGTTCCAAAGGCACATCAGCACCTTTGAGATATTCTTCTTCTTTTTTTTTTGTGAGATGAAGTCTCACGGTGTCACCCAGGGTGGAGTGCAATGACACAATCTCAGCTCACTGCAACCTCTGCCTCCCGGGTTCAAGCGATTCTTCTGCCTCAGCCTCCCGAGTAGCTGGGATTATAGGTGCATGCCACCACATCCAGCTAATTTTTTGTATTTTTAGTAGAGACAGGATTTCACAATGGAAAATGATAGAGAACCCAGAGATAAATCCATATAGTAAACTCATTTTTGACCAAAGTGCCAAGAACATACATTTCTTGTAGGACAGGTCGGGTGTTTGATGAAATCCCTCATTGTTTGGGAATTTTTCTTTCACATTTGGAGGATATTTTCGCAGGTTATAGTATGCTAGGGTAAATGTGGTTTTTTGGGTTTTTTCCCCTTTAGCACTTTAAATGTGTCATGCCAGTTTCTCCTGGCCTGTAAGGTTTCCTGTGAAAAATCTTCTGCCAGAAGTATCAAAGCTCCAGTCTGTGTTATTTGTTTCTTTTCTCTTGCTGCTTTTAGGATACTTTATCCTTGATCTTTGCGAGTTTGACTATTAAATGACTTGAAGTAGCCTTCTTTGGGTTAAATCTGCTTGGTGTTCTATATCATTCTTGTACTTGGATATTAATATTTTTCTCTAGGGTTGGGAAGTTCTCTGTTATTATCCCTTTGAATAATCTTTCTGCCCTCCCCTTCTCTCTTTTTTTTTAACCTCCTGCTTAAGGCCAATAACTCTTAGATTTGCCCTTTTGTGACTGTTTTCTACATCTTGCAGGTGTGTTTCTTTATTTTTTATTCTCTTTTCTTTTGTCTCCTCTATGTATTTTCTAATAGCCAGTCTTCAAGATAACTCTTTCTTTCGTTTGATCAGTTCTGCTGTTAAAAGACTCTAATGCAGTCTTTTAGTATGCCAATTGCATTTTTCAACTTGAGAATTTCTCCTTGATTCTTTTTAGTTTATTTCAGTCTCTTTGTTAAATATATTTGTTAGAGTTATGAATTTCTTTTTTGTATTATCTTGAATTTCTTTGAGCTTCCTCAAAAAAGCTAATTTTATTCTCTGTCTGAAAGATCATGTACCTGTTTCTCCAGGATTGGTCCCTGGTGCCTTATTTAGTTCATTTGATGAGATCATGTTTTCCTGGATGGTCTTCATGCTTATTCAAAGTTTACCTGTGGCTGGGCATTGAAGAGTCCTTATAGTCCTCCCAGTCTGGAGTTGTTTGTACCAGTACTTCTTGGGAAGACTTTCTGGTTATTTCCAAGGACTTGGGTGTTGCAATCTAATCTGTATGTGCCTTAGGGAGCACCACAAGCCCAGTAACACTGTGGTTCTTGCAGACTTATAGAGGTACTGCTTTAGTGGTCTTGGATAAGATTCAGAAGAATTCTCTGGATTACCAGGCAGAGAGTTTTGTTCTCTTATTTTCTAGTAAACAAATGGAGTGTGTCTCTCTCTATGCTGAGCTGTCTGGAGCTGAATATGGTGACACAAACACTTCTGTGGCTACAACCACTAAGACTGTGCTGGTTCGGACCTGAAGCCAGCTCAGCACTAGGTCTTGCCCAAGGCCTGCTGTAATCTCTACCTAGCTACTGCCTATGTTTGCTCAAGACCCTTGGGCTTTAAGTAGAAGTTGGCAAAGCTAACCAGGCTTGTGTTCTTTCCTTTAGGATAGCAAGTTTTCCCAGTCCCCAGGTGGGTCCAGAGGTGCCTTTTGTGAGCCAAGGACTATAGTGTAAAACCTTAGAAGTCTACTTAGTGTTCTGTTGTATTATGGCTGAGCTGGCAGTCAAAACATGAGATATAGTCTTTCACATTTTTCCATTCCCTTTCCACAGGCAGAGGAGCCTTACCCATGGCCACCACCACCACAGGCCCATGGGGAATACTGCCAGACTACCTACTGCCAATGCTTCCTTAAGACCCAAAGGTTCTTCATTCAGCTTGTGATGAATGCTGCCTGGACTGGGACTCACCCTTCTGGGCAGTGGTTCTGCTCTAACCCAGGGAAGGCCTAGAAATGTCATCTAAGAGCCAAGGCCTGGAACGGAGACACCGAGCAACCACTTGGTACTCTAACATCCTGTGGCTGAGCTGGTACCTAAGGCAGCAAGACAAAGCCTTCTTTACTTTTCTGTTCACTTTTCTTAAGTGGGAGTCTTTCCCCATAGCTATTACAGTTGTAAATGTGCTTAGTCTTACCCAAAGCCAGCAACTCTGAGTGTCTCATGCAAGCCTCACCCCTACTATCTGGGTATCGCTGCTGATTATTCAGGGCCCAGACTCTTTAGTCAGCAAGTGATGGGTTCTGCCAGGTAGGGGTTCTTCCCTTCAAGGCAGTGGGTTCCCTTCTGGCCCAAGGTGTGTCTTGAAATGTTGTTCAGGAGCAAGGGCCTGGAAAGGAGGCCTCATGTCTGACTTGGTACTCTGTCCTACTGTGGCTGATGTGGTATCGAAGATGCAAGACAAAGTCCTCTTTACTCCTCCCTCTCTGCTCCTCAAGCAGTAGGAAGTAGTCTCTTTTGGAGCCTCAAGATGTGCTGTGTGAGGTGGGGGGAGGGATGACTCAAGCACTCTCTTAACCACCTTAGCTGGTATTTTAGTGGTTTGTATGTTTTCCCAGACACTGGCTCTGAGCCTAGTTCAGCACTAGGACTCACCTAGGAGTTGCAGTCCTTGTGGCCTAGACCTCCTTTCAGGTTTATTTAGATCATATATTAGTCCATTTTCACACTGCTGATGAAGATATATCTGAGACTGGGTAATTTATAATGAAAAAGAGGTTTAATGGGCTCACAGTTCCATGTGGCTGGAGAGGCCTGATGACTATGGTGAAAGGTGAAGGGCACATCTTACGTGGCAGCAGATGAGACAATATGAGAACCAAGTAAAAAGAGAAACCCCTTATAAAACCATCAGATCTCATGAAACTTATTCACTAACATGAAAACAGTATGGGGAGAACTGCACCTATGGTTCACTTATCTCCCATTAGGTCCCTCCTATAACAATGTGGGAATTATGGGAGCTACAATTCAAGATGAGATTTAGAAGAGGACACAGCTAAACCGTCTCAGATCCCCAGAGCACTTTAGCCCATGGTGATGAATCTAGCTGGAACTCAAGTTCTGACTTCTGGGGAGTGGGTAATTCCCCTCTGCTTAGGGCTGGTCTAGATGCTTCCTCCGTGGATGGGCATTAGCTGAGTTCAGCCTGGTTTTGCTTTCTGCTATAAAGTATTATTGAGTTTAATGCAATGTCTCACAATCCTGTGCTCTCCCTCTCCCAAGCAGACAGATTATCTCTCTGCACTACACGTAGTCACTGCCTAGGGGATGACGGAGGGTTGGTGTCAGCAATTCAAGACTCTTTCCTACCCTCTTCAAAGCCTCTTTTAGCCATATGAAGTTAAAACCAGGTACTGTAAGCACAAACCTGATTTTTGGTTATTATGAAGGTGTTTCTTTGTGTGTAGATAGTTGTTAAATTGGTATCCTTGCAGGAAGAGCAATCAGTGTAGCCTTCTATTCTGCTATCTTGCTCTATCTCACTGCAATTAATTTTTAATTTTGACCTTATAACCTGTGTCCTTGCTAAATGTGTTTATGTGTTCTAGTAATATTTTGTGTAGATTCCTTAGGGTTTTTTACATACAGGATCATGTTGTCTGAGAATACAAACATTTTACTTGTTCTTTTCAAACGCTTTTGCTTTTAGTTTCTTCTTCTTGCCTTATTCCTCATTCTAGAATCTCTCATTCAACTTTGAATCGAAGTGTTATACATATACTTGCCTTATTCCTAAAACATCTGGTCTTTCGTTAAAGGCATGATGTTAGTCGTAGATTTTCCATATATTCCTTTTGAGGAAATTTTCTTCTATTACTGCCTAGTTGAAAGCAGCTTTTAATGATTTTGTTTATTCTTCAAAAATTGGAGCAGTGATATAGTTACTATTATATTGCCTTATATTAGTAATTAAATTTTTGGAGACCTGATTTTTAGAGGAATTTTAGGTTTACAGAAAATTTGAAAAGAATATACAGCATTCCCATTTATCAACTGCCCCCCACCACAGTTTCTCCTATTTTTAACATCTTGTGTTAATGTGGCACAGTTCTTAAAATGAATGAGTTAATATTAATACATTATTAACATATATTTCATATACTGTTATAACTT